AGAAATAGACGAATGAATTCCAAAGAAAAGGTTCGTATTATTATTCGTATATAAGTAAAGTTTCGGGACTACCGGTAAATCAATTATATGAGATACATTCACCCTATTTCGTCTAAGGTGATAATGGACTGTTAGTAGAATTTTCCTATAATTATATGAGTAAAGCTTACGTTTCTATTGGATTTCACAGAGCCTTGCTTTCCCAAAAGTTACGTATTAATTGGATATTAATTAAGTAATTAATAAGCTAAATCTAAGTGCCACAGAGAATGTCATAAAAAAGTTTTAAAGAGGTGGTGATAAAAATAAATGGTTCTAACTAAGGATTCAGCGAATGCGAGAATTACGATAACTCACTCATTATTGAATATGGAGGACATGGAGAGGCAAGCTAATATAAGTTATGTGTAGGAGATTATCACGTGGAGGCATTTATTAGGATAAGGGAGATCGTCAGAGGAGTAGGCTATGAAAGAAGCCTAATTCCGATAGAAATTTTTAAAAATTTAAATACCTGGTTTTTATCCGGACGAACAAGAATGAAAATGGGATCAGAAGGATGATTTGATTAGATGAAGTGGAGACTGGAACTGTTATGGAACAGGAAGGAGAAATGCCGCAACCGTTCAACAGAAAATTACTCCAGGAGATTGCATTTAATTGTTATTCTAGCGAGTTGTAGCTTGCTTCTAAGGATACTGCAGCTAATTGAGGATGCTGATTATGATTGGGTAACATCAGGCAATCTATCCAATTAAAGGCCTGATGCCGGGAAATCACATGACACTACAGAAGATGGTGCAATACGAGGCGAGCCCTTTGAAGTCTCTGCGAACGCGACGCATTTGCGCAAATGAGGTCAAGCCAGCTTTATGATGCGAAATGAGATACAAATAAAATGACTAACCTGTTGTTCCCTTTGCACAGTTCACCTATATATCATCTTTTCAATTTCGACTTGCTCATTCACTCGATTAAACTAAATATTGCATCGGTCCATTATTTCTTGAAACTCTTGTACCTGTTTCTCGAATTTCATCCTTGATTCAAGATTGAAACATTTTTTTATTTATTCTGAAATTTACAAGAAATCGCTTTCATTTTTTCTTTCATCATTCTCACTGTTTCTCTCTCCTTTTAGTGAAAGGCTTTTTCAAATTTTTTTTATGCATACATACGCACATACATACATACATACATACACATATTCATTTATTTATTTATTTTCATGACAATGCTTTATCCTTCCACAGTAAATGATAGTTAACAATTTTTCGTTCTCTGAGAATATTTCCTCAAGAAAAGTAACGTTTACTTGTCGTTCTTGGCAATTTTCATATCCTATTTGGCTACAACTTATTACTCCCTACTATTTCATATACATACTAACTTGACAGTGCAATACACCATCTAAATTATTTTTTTAAATAGCTGCGTCATTGAATGGGCAGATGATGAGGACTCTGGTCGTCCGCCTTCCTGCTCTTCTCTCAATCTCAATATTTTAGCGACCGACGGCTCTCAGGGACATAAATTATCCTGCAAAGACCTATCCACTTCTGTAGGCAAAAGCGCAATCACAGATCAGATCACTCATGGACAGGTGACCACTTCAATAGTCTCCAATTCGTGTAAAGGCATTAGCAACAATGGATCCTTATTCCTTTTGAATTCCTCTATTACCTCACATGGCTTCGAAACAGATGTATGCAACAACTTATCTGCTATCACCAGGGAAGTTGCACCCCGCTGCCGAATTCATCATTCAGCCAGACCAACTCCATCCAGAATGCATCACAACATATCTTCTGGGAGCTCCAGTCGAAGGCGTAAATACGACTCGGTCGATAAAAGAGAGCACACCTCTAGATCGAAAAACGAAAGGGTAATTGATATAGGGGACGATGAAAATTTTGGTTCTGGGACTTGTGTAGACGCTCGAGATTCTGATAGTGGTCAACCTCGCATAGGACATCTTCGTGCCAGCGGTGATGTATTTCCAAACCTATCGGATGGGCCCGAGATTAATGATTCCTATTCTCAGGATGATAACAGTAATTCGACCTCCCCGCCAACAGGTGCGGAAGTCGAGGAAGGAGGCATTGAGACTGAAAATGAGGGTGTTAATGAAGACGATAGGGAACCTGAAATAAGACAAGAATGCAAATACCCAAATCGAGAATCCACTCGGTTAACCCAGCGGAGCCGTTATCCTGTTCGTCGACCTGAACCCTTCGGCGAGGATGATGAAGAAGGGGCAATTGAAGAAGCTTCTAATGTCGATTCCGATAACGATGATGACGACGATACTCCCTATGATTGTCGTAGTCGGCTCTTTCTTCCACATAGGCTCTTGATGCTACGCGAAACTGCCTCAGACATTGTTTTGACAACCAGGACGCCTTCACCTCGGACATCGACCACGATAGCACCCGATATTATAAATTGTGCACAGCTAGAGAGACAGTCCTCACAGGATGCCATCTCGGATGCATACGATGATGATATTCACTTAGATGACGCTAACGATGCTTATGGTGGTGCTGATACAGCTGCTATTACTTTTACGGATTCTCTCAGTGGTACTGGAGAAAATAGACATTGCAGGAATAGTTCAGAGCATGAAACAAATCAGGCTTCCTTAAGAGACTCTTCTCATCTAGAGCAAGTACTAACCGAAGACAAGGAGATATGGTCTCCCACTGACAACTCATGCAGCTATATGAGGCCAAAAGATTCAAAGCTCCTCTGCTTTGATGCTAATACCTCGGCCATTTCTATTGTTAGTGATCGGGATGCCGATGAGGAGAACCTCTCTGATATAATTGATGCTGATGAAAACATTGCCTTAACATCTAGAACGAAGCGGAATCGGGATACTCATTTACCGGCGGCGCAACCAGCAAAAAAGAGCAAATCTACCCAAAAGGTTTCACTTGGCACTGTTGGTGTTGAGTTCTGCAGACAACCAAAAGAACTGGAATCTAGTAAGTTATTTATATTTTTACTTTTATCCCTTCCAATCCAAAATGGTGGGTGATTATTTTTTCGAAAGGTTAGAATAGTACAACTTATTCCTCTTAATTCATCTTTCATAATATGTATGGTCTCATGAGTAAGGAGCCTTGGCAATGATATTTTATGTTTTGGGTTTATTATCTAGGTAGAAATCCCTAGTTAGGGTGAATTTTTAACATGAATTTTGCCATATGTTTAGATTGGGGATAGCTTATGCTAATATTAGGTTTAAAGAAAGTCACATAGATAAGCCACCTTCCTTTCATCAAAGTTAGATCCATAAGCACATACGACC